TTAGGAAAAGAGGGATCCAATGAAGACGGGGGCCCTTGCACTGTGCTCTCATGCCTGTGACTCTCTCCCACCCCTGTTCTTAGCATTGAACCCCTTGGGGCTACCCTAATCCCTCCAGAAGGATCACCTTCTCTCCCAGTAGGTCAGTAATGATCCAAAGATGCTGGCAATTCAAGGGTAATTCCGCTGATACACATGAAACTTAACTTTTTCGTTGGCCTTTTGTTAATCTAGATAAACGTCCTAATCCACTTCACCATGGAGAAAGTAAAAATGGAGGGTCAACACTGGAGAAATATACATCAACCAGGACTGGGGCCAGACCACTTATTTCAGCAGCATCCTAGGCTTCACAAGACTGAGCCTATGGCACATGCCTTCAACAGCTTTGAGACACAAATCATACCCATTTTATAAATAACAGGCTGGAACTGTTTTCATATTATCTAAGTGGCAAAACTCCCACCACCTTCTATAAGAGCAAGACTGGACCAAATGTTGTTGATAGTTAAACAAAAAAGCCCATGATTCAAACACAAAAACTAGGGAAAAGTCTGCCAATACACAATCTTCATATTTATATTATTTCAGTTTCAATGCAACAAACAGTACATAGAAACCAGAGACGGTTCCTTTTTCAAGGAGACATTTTGGGCAGGCTGCATTCTGGGGCTTGTTCTACTTGTCAGTGTTTCTTTAAAATGACAGGGCAGGGTCACCCATCTGGGGAAAAAAAATGCATTTTAAAACACATGCAAAAAATATGAATTCTTTGATACTTTATGGTCAAACATCTGCTAAACTACTACTTTCCTTCAATTATGGGATTCTCAAAGCAACAATTATCTCTATTTTTCTCAGAATTTGGGGGATATAATCAGTACTACCAGAAATCAACACAGTCTCTCTATATATATCTGTATGTTTTGCCAATGTTGAAACACTGCAAATGAGACGAGGACATTGACTAAATATGGTAAACCTCCAGATTGTCAAGTCCCTAAACTGAGCACTACGTAACATTCAGTCCTGTTTTTTTACCTAGGAATCCATTTCTCTGAGGTAGTGACCATTTTCAATCTCTGCTGACTTCTGCAAAGCCAGGTCACTCTGCGTTTCCTGTTTCTCTTCTCTGTCTCACTAAGACAGGCGTGAAAGTTACTCCCTCCTTGTAAGGAGATCAAAGGAAGTGAAAACGTTCTCTTTGACCCAACACCTTCAAATCTTGGGACACACTGAAAGGGAAAACGTTTTATTCCTCTTCAATAAAAAAAATAATCTTTTCTGTGCTTGCCCCTTTTTACTGTGTAAATCAGACTGAATCTGGAAACTTGACATCCTGGCACGTCGCCCAGTCCCAAAGAAGAAAATAGGAAAATGTGGATTTTATCCACAAGATCACAAGGTACCGAAAAGCCTCCTGCCTTATCATCAGAAGAACTGCTCCAACCTCGAGTTAGCCAACCAGCTCTATGCCAACCTCGTATCTGACCAAAGTGGGCAAATCACAGCAAATCCAATAAATGGGCAAAGTTCTATCTGTGTCCCATAAGGTTTTCAACCCCATAGGCATGGGTTAGATAGACAGAAGGAAGAGATACTCCTTGTATCCTGGAGTCAATGCTGGCTCAGGCTTCACAGGAAAAATACTGCTACTATATAGGGCTTCCTGTTCCTGCCCCAAAAGGATCACACATTTCTTTCCACACTCGCATGGCGTATGCTGAAATGGAAAGCGAACAGCCTCAGTGTGACCATTGGGTCACTCTTAGGAAACACTGGTTGGAATTTCCAGGGATAGAAGGGAAAACAAACCGAATAAACCCTGAATTTCCAACATCCAAACCAGGTTTCTAACTACTGTTAAGCTATCGCCATGTTAACAAAGAGCCCTCCAGAGCACTAGCCTGGGGAGCTGAGCTCCAGGAGGAGCTGTGAGGGCACTGCCGGTTACCAAGTCCAGCATGAAGCACTAAGCACATCCAGAGAGAAGCAACATTTTAAGTTTCTGCCAATGCTTCCTATTTTCTTAGGTCATCAGGTCTCAAGCCTGGTGGCACATAATGGGAAGGGAGGAATACAGGACATAACTGAGAGGATGAGAAAGCAAGAAATGGTCTCTTGTACCTCCTGCTGGGATGGGGGAATCACCCCCTCTCATCTTAACCCCACCTCTAGACCTTAAAAGACAAAAAGTGCAGCCAGTGCTGTCCTCTGGCTCTAAGGAGGCATCAGTAGTGTCAAGGAAGGGATCTGTCAGAGCTCTACAGAGCCAGTGGTTCATAAAATAAGGGGTCCAAAATGTATCCTGACAGGAACACTGATTTAAAGGCGCAATAACTATCAAGTTAATACCAAATACCTTCAGGAATTACCTGCACATTCCACTTTAAAGGCAGCTCTGAAGGGTGTCTCTGTCCCTGGGCAGAACCCAGGTGCCAATGGCCAGATTCATGGAGCCAATATCCAAAAGCCAGTCCTTGACCTTTAATGTGTCCTTCTGGCAAATCTCTGCACGGCAGCAGTAGATCTTCCCAGGTTGATCCCGTGCAGCAACAGCAGTGCAATGCCAGGAGAACCAGCATCAAGCACCTCAATATTGAGTTGAATTATTTTGATTACGGGATGACTCACACTCCCACAGCTTCTTGGCTAAAACAAGACAAATCAGAACTGCCGATATTCCCTCACTGAGGGAAATTGTTCAAATATTTCCAATGTGATTTAGGGCAGCTGTCTATGCCTTTTTTTCAGGAATAGGGCACAGTGACAATTGCTGGTTAGAGCAGTGGGAGCGGATCTAGGAATGAATTCCTCAGAAGTGATGAGGCAGTGGTTTCAAGAGGTTAACCACACATGTTTTTTATTCCGTGCTTGGGATGAGTATGAGTTTTAGGACAGGAGCTTTTCTGAGCAGCACACCTTGCAGTTCTCTTGCCCGGAGAGGCTGGTGACGAGCGCTCTCACCAGGCATTTCCGTCAGCCAGGCGGCCGGTCCAGCCATCGGAAGAACGAGAGCCAAAAACTCACCAGGGACCAGCTACCCCACATAACCTCTTCCAGCACGAAAATCTGTCACAGCTTGCACAGAGCAAGATGAGACCAGCAAAAATTGTTAACAGCCACGAACAGCAGGAGAGATTTTAAGTCAGAAGGTAAGCAATTTAATCAAAATGATTCCACCAAGTGTGAGAAACTACACGCTCTTCTGTGAGACATCTCATTGCCATGCAGTCTTCTAGCACCAACACACACATCTTTTCAGAAACACGGCAGATCTCAGAGGAAAGTAAAAAGGTGAGGAAGAATAATGTGGTTTTTTTGAACATTACTCAGTACAAACCAGCACTGGATAATACAATCTTATCTTCCAAGAAACCACCAGCTACAGGTACTAGCCCAACTATTCAATTGTCGGTATAATAAGATCCTTACAATGAAAAAGGACATGATTAGCCAACTGTGAACATTTTTAAACATGTCAGATCAGTATCCCTCTAAATGAAAAAAGGCAAACCTAGGAGTAAGGCAAGTGCAAATAACTACACAGCTAAGAAAGGGAAGTAAAAAGCAGACTTCTTGGGATGTGAAGATGTTCGCCAAGATGAAATTGCCGGTTCTCTTTCCAGGTTCAGTAACACTTGCTCAATAGCAAAAAAAAACATTTTAATTTTAGCTTCCTTTTTGGGAAGCTTGGAATAGGACTGGAAAGGATACAAAATAAGTTGTAGGTTTAACTTTTGCTATAAATATTCTCATATCAAAACAGTAAGCCTTAGACATATCATGGGATAAACAGATATTATTAATGGGTTTAGTTGTTTTGCATTTTAGGCATGCGTTTACCTCAATACGACAGAAGTACCTCAGAAAAAAATCTAAAGTAGCAGTTTCCCAAACAGAGTAAGATTTATTTCAAACATACCTTAAATTACCCAGTTTTATTTTTTGTTTTGAAAGGCTATATATTTTTTCTAAAGAAAACAGCTTTAATACAGTATTTGTTTCATTTCAAATACTAAGCTCACTATCACAAAAATTTACAATTCATAAAAAAAATTACAAGTATCACATTACCTTTTATTTCCTAAACTAAATTTATTTTCTCATAAAGGAACAAGAATGCTTTTGAACTGGTCTTGGAGTAAGTCTGTTGTTATTTATGGAGAGCAGTCACAGAGGAAGGTTGTCTTCCGGCCTTAAAATAGCGCTCCTGAGAAAGCCCCACGTCAATATGTACAACAAGAGAATCTTATATATCATTTCATTTGCAAGCAAGCTAATATTCAAAACACGTGAATTTTGCTGAGCCCAGCTAATGATCATTCTTGTTCCCGAATTAACATATCACACATGATCCACTAAAAGGCAACACACAGTTCAGCAACAGGGGAAACAAGGAGTTTTCCAAGGTGAGCATGAGATGGTGAGTGGAGAGAAGAGGGAAGAGGTGGGGAAAGGAATGGACAGATACCATTTGCCATGCGTAGTGAGGGGTTGCTGCTTTCCAAGCTCAGCACGAGATTCTCCTCCTCGTCCTGCTGCCTTGTCTTCTGCCAGAGCGAAGTGCTGAGCTTGCCAGGACAGGGCATGGCAAGAAAAGCAGAACTCAACACCCCATGGAGAACTTCCCTGGCCAAAAAGAAAAAGAAGGGCTGGAAAACCCCAGGTCACAAGAAGAAGCTGTCGAGCAACCTCAGCGGAGGAGCAGAGTCTTTGCAAATTAGGTTCAGCAGTGTTAAACAAAAGAGTATAGATTTAATGGCGAGTTCAGGAATTCTCTAATTTTACAGATTGGTTCAACCAAACCAAATTATATCAAACTGCATCATTCACAGCCATGTCATACAGAAAAGACACAGAAAACCAGCGTCTTTTCTTGCAGAACTATTATAGCGGGAAGAAAACTTGTTTGTCCATTGAGAGAAGAAGTTGTTAGAGGTATAATACAGTGTGGTGTTAAAAAGCAAGTGATACTGAATTCCAAAAGCAAAAGTTACCTTCTGGAGGAGTTGCAATGCTGCTCCCGAGCCCCAAAATAGCAATGCTGTGATTCCTTGGTTCCAGCATCATTGCAAACTCTTCTCCTCTCTCCCAGTGTGGTATTTTCACAGGCTCCAGGTGCACATTTTCCAGTCCGTCTTCTTGCAGGGCCCTGAACATATACTTGATGGCTGCATCTAGATTTTTTGAACCGCTGAGTCTAGGTCCTATGGTATCAGCAAAAACTGCTAATCTGTCATAGGACCTGTTCTGAGCTTTTCCATGAACAGCAAAATCAATAATAGCTTTAGCAACATCGCTATAGCCAGCTATCTCATTTTTAATGTCTTCAAATGTTTTTGGGTAACTGTCATCTTTTCTCAAAGACTTCCCAGCATACCGGGGTAATAAATTCATGAAAAATATTAAAAATAAATATTTCATTTTTTCTCTTTTTTCTTGTCCACAGATGGCCTGCTGGAGACAAAAAGAAAAAAAAAATTAAAAAAATAATAGTCATAGAGCTATCAGCAATACTCTTCTTTTGTTATTTGGATTGGAAGACAGACAGACCAAAATAAGAAGAAATGCATTTATCAGGAAAATGCTTTGATCAGAACTGGCAAGAAAGTAGGAGACTAAATTATTGAAAGCAAATGAAAAAGATACTTAAACAACTGGACACAACCTTTGTTGTGGTATTCAGAAACATCCTTGGAATGCTGCATCTCATTAAATAATCACATCCTTCACTAAATCAAAAGCCAGGGCTGCTCCCATCCAGGAGGAGCTTTGCATCTCCTTTCTGTTAGGAGCAGGATTTGCCAGAAGTGCCAAATCAAATGTCTTCACACAAAACATCTGGACATTTCTTAAACCATTCATGAATAAAAGTGCTTCTTAATTTCTATCTTCATAATCAGGAAAGCACTTTCTGTTGCACTAGAAAGATGTCAGAGCAATTTAGACCCAATAAGAAAGTATGAATTTCTTCACTGTATCAATGACTATCAGAGAAACACAATTTCTTATTAACTGGTGTATCTCTTAAGGACCTACTTCAGCAGAACTGTAGAGAGTTGCAGTGCCAGAGATGCTGACCCTGTACTGAATACCAAGAGTTATCTTTGTTAATGCTTTACAGTTTATCCATCCTATCATTAAAAATTTGCAGTTTTACCATATCACAAATTTCCAATCCCATAAAAGCAACAGTTTGTCTATGCTATCACTTGAATTAACAAAAAAAAAATATCTCTGAAATCAATTAGTGTAGTTTCAAAGCTCTTTTATAAGACAGGAAGTATGATTATCCAAACCCAAAATATAAATGTCTTTATTGATATACACAAAAAGAAATGAAATTGTTTTATTGTCCTTTGAATTTAAAACAGGTTGCAATTTGAATGATAAAAATTAGGCCTTTAAACCAGCTCTGCATCTATTATGAGATTTTAAAAAATAGCAATTAGTTACAGCCAAGTGAAGTGACAATTACTACTAGCCCCAAAAGATTTTGATTCAGCACTTTTGCCATTTTCATGGACTTCCCTAGGAATATCAATATTTTTGAAAAATAATGTTATATGACTTAAAAAATAGTAACACTAAAGGCAAATGTTAGCCTCTACTCTATAAAATATGTTTTTCTTGGAAACAATTGTTGTACAAATAGCAAAGGACCAGTTAAATGGCTAATATGGATAAAATATGGGTAAATCAGACCTGCATGACAGAAGTATCACTAAAAACTCCTGCTATTAAGAGTTATACTCTTCATTTTATACTAACTAATCTGAGGAATCAGGGCAATATACTTACCTTTAATTTTGGATCATGATGCTATATACATACAAAGAGCCAGTAAAAAGGTGGGGGGGGAGGGTACAAGTGTGTGTGCCCACATGCAAAACACACACAAAAAAGTCCTCCTTTAATTTCAGACAATTGCACTCTACAGGAGCTTTAAATGAGCATTAATTTTCAGTCATTTTATGGAGTAGGCAAATTTCACAATAACCAAATAGCTTCGTAAACCATAATGCCAGAAGGGAGCAGACTATCTACCTTGTCTGCCTGCCACAGAGCACTGCTGCAGGATATTCCTGAATGAACTCCCAGAAGCCACACAGCAAAGCATCAGTCAAGCCAATTCCCGAGAGAGTAAGGGTGAGGTTACACCAGTTTTGTGCCTCTGTGAGCACAGTTGTATTCGAAGCTTCTGCAAGCTCCATTCTGGATGATCTAAGTGAAGAGATCCCCCTTTCCACTTACGTCTGTTATAATGAACCACAAATTGATGAACTCATTTTCTCAAGATGTTCATTCTGGACCATTTTCCAGCATTTGCTATTTTATTAAAAATAAAAATAAGCCTTTGACATAAGGCTTATTTGTTACCTTATGAAGTATATGAAGTTACCTTAATGTACAGTGAATTCTGATATCACATCTAATACGTATCTTGTCCCATTTCCTCTCCTGTCCTCTCTTAGTTTCAATGTATTTATATTTCTACCTAGAAATCTTGGTCTTTGTAGGTTGCCAGAACTACTCATTTGACTTCCCCTTCCTTGTTCAAGGAACAAGCTGAGATAAACAAGAATCTGGGAAATTCAAATGTAACTTTGGTGGATACAGTTGTCACATCACTTCTGCTTTTTGTCAGATTCTTACTCACTTTATTCTTCCAAAGAAGCTTCACCTTAACAGTGGCAGAGCACACTAGGAAAAGCTGAATTACCACCCTCAGTAAGGAGCCTGGTTGGAACTACAAATGTGAATACTTACCCTTCCTATATGTTACTATAAGAAAGCATATAACTTTAAAGCAGAACTTCTGGAAAGCCAGAAAAACGTGTATCATGCAACCACAGAATGGTTGAAGTTGGAAAGGACCTCTAGAGCTCATTTTGTTCAATCTCCCTGCTCAAGCAGGGCGATCTAGTGCAGGCTGCCCAGGACCATGTCTACATGGCTTTTGAATGTACCCAGGGAGGGAGACTCCGCAATGTCTCTGGGTAACCTGTTCCACCTCAGTCACAACCACTGTAAAAAATGTTTCCTCATGTTCAGATGGAACCTCCTTTTTGTTTCCATGTGTGCCCATTCCCCCTGGTCCTGTCATTGGGCATCACTGAAAAGAGCTTGGCTTCATCCTCTTTGCACCCTCTTTGCTGGCTTCTCTATACCTGTGTAAGGGACATCCTGGATTGTTTATAATGTGCTGTGCCGACCCTCCAGGAGATATTGGGATGGTTAAAGTCCACCATGCACATCAGAGCCTGTGAATGAGAAGCTACTTTTAGCTTTAAAAGTCTCATCTACTTGTTTTTCCTCATCAGGTAGCCTTTAGCAGACAGCCACTACAACGTCATCCATATTGGTCTGCTCTTCAATGCTTATCCATAAGGTCTCAGTTGGCTCATCATCTATCCCCAGGCAGAACTCCAAGCACTTCAGCTGTCTTCTCACAGAGGGCAAGTCCACCTTCTTTTCTTCCCAGTGTGTCTTTCTTAAAGAGCATATATGCATCCATTGCAGCATTCCAGTCATATGAGCTATTCCTCCACATCTCCATGATCCCAACAAGATCATACCCTGCAACTGATCTCCAACTTCTAATATTTATTCTCCATGTTGCATACATTAGTGTAAAGGCACTTAGAAGCACGGATTCATCAATGTAAACAGAAAAGGCAACCCACAACATTTTTGTGAGAGCTGTCTGATCAGCTCCCAAGAATGGGAGATGACCTACAGCAGAGATGGGGGGGGACTCTTTATCAGGGAGTGGAGCAATAGGTCGAGGGATAATGGTTTTAAACTGAAAGAGGGGAGATTTAGATTAGATACCAGAAAGAAATTCTTTCCTGTGAAGGTGGTGAGACACTGGAACAGGTTGCCCAGAGAAGCTGTGGATGCCCCATCCCTGGAAGCGTTCAAGGCCAGGCTGGATGGGGCTTTGAGCAACCTGGTCTGGGGGGAGGGGTCCCTGCCCATGGCAGGAGGGGGTTGGAACTCGATGATCTTTTCCAACCCAAACCATTCTTTGAGTCTACATATTCATAAGATGCCACCTGAAATGCCAGCTGTGCAATGCAGAATTAAGAAACAGAAAGAGTGAAAGGATTAAATCACACTTCCAGGATCCATAAACCACCAGAAGGAGAAAAAAAAACAACAAACAAACAAAAACCAACAAAAAACCAACAAACAATCAACAAACAGCCCCCCAAAAGCAACCACAAAATTTTTTGAGTCACCAAGCCTAGTTTATATGATAACCAGTATAAACTGCCAGCCTTTCATAGGTTTTTATGGGTGTTTTCATAAATAGCAAGTTAAACAATAGCTTTAGCAATATAAGAGTATTAAACTATTCTCTTTTAACTATTCAAATGTCCCCTAAACTTGAGATCAAGGCAGTAACAAATTCTTCACAGCGAAGTGTCACTTTCCCAAACGAACAACCAAAATCATCTGTGATTTCATCTCTGAATGACAAATCTATCACACAGATTTCCTCTCTCTCTGTGAGACAGACAGGGCAAAGGTCTTACACAACCAGGAGCAGAAGACTCGGGTTATCTCAGGACACCGACAGAGAACTGTATAATGCCTTTTCTAGTCTGAGTTACTGTTTATTTGTGGTTATACTACACAGAGGGTATTGGTGTATTTTTATTGCTACGCTCTGTACTTTCCCTGAGTTGCTTCCCTTTGGACCAGTTAATTACATGCTCACAGACATCCTCTGCTACAGACATCAGTAATTTTCTCAGGATGACCATGCTCATTCCCTGATTTTTGCCAAGCTCATCATCCCCAAAGAAGCAAGCAAGATAATCTGATTTCTGCCATAAGACGAATTCTTGCTGAGTGAAGTAAGACAACAACTTTGTACAATTAGTTTCAAAAAACTTAAGGTTTGGGGTTTTATTTGTTTAACCGTTTGCAAAATCTACCAGACAAAGCTGACACATTTACTTGTTAAACAGAAAACACAGGGGATTGTTTAATTAGCATTGGCAACCACAAAGAGCCCCCAGCTACCAACTTCATGCATTTTTTCAATGGAGAAATCAAACCACAGTTATCAAATTTCTCTTAACTAAGAAATGCTTCCCTTGCATTTCCTGGCCTCATTCAAAACCAGCAGCATCCTCACTCCAAAGGCTGCCCCAGCGGAGCTGCATTTAATAGCCATACTTTTTCCAGGAATTTCCCACTGAACACTGAGAAGAGACATGTTTCCGCAGTTTTTGTGGATGTAACATACTCCCACCAAGCACTGTATTTCACTACCTGCCACTGCATTCTAAGAGGAGCAGAACTAAATTCAAAGCCTGGGCAAGGACACAAGAATGGAAACGTAATTTATTGTTCTTTCCTTGAACAGTCCAGCATCATCTGGTCAAAAGCTAGCAGTGTTCAGAAATAATTCTCTGCTAGTTAAAGTAACATCACACTCACTT